CTGCCTCACCCCCCGCCCCAAATCAGGGCTTCAAGTGCTCAGAAAACAAAACTGCCCATTCTGAGGCAGCCAGGCAAGGCCAGAGGCTCCCAGCAGTGTGGGCACAGGGACACTGTCTGTCCTGACCCCCTCCATCTCAGCTGGCAGGGCATGGTCCCCTCCTGCCCTGCCTGGTGCCAGCACAGCGTCCCACACTCCAGGACCCACTGCGACATCCACATCACCTGCACCTACCGATAGCTGTGGTGCCTGTTTCTCCCCAGGGACTGTGGAGCGCAATGGGGACGTCTGTGCCTCCTTGCAGCCCCAATCACCCCACAGGGGTCCCACACCTCGGTGCAGGGGCTGGGGGTGCCACCAGGGCTGGCTGCTGGGAGAGGGGTCCGTTCCTCTCTGGGTAGTGGGCCCGGCCCTGGCCCCAACCCGAGTTGTGCTGAACCCCACTAATCGGGAGCCTTCAGTGGAAAGCCCAGATGTGCTCCCCCATGCCTGGGTTGCTCTCCCTCGGCCACTTCACCCCCAGCATTTCAATGTCTGCCCCCCAGTATAACCCCAGACCCAGGATAGGACAAATTGGGATGATTGCAACACTGATCCCAGGGGACGTGGCAGCAGATCACGCCAGGGAAAGGGGGCTGTGAGTGAAAGGAAGCTGAGGGGCAAACCAGGGACTGGGTCCCTGTATCAGCATCCCACGCTGAACCCCTGCAGAGTGAACCTCTGCGTCTGAGCAGGAGGGGACGCCCTGAGACAGGGCTGCCTGGCCCCACAGGGCTGCCTGCAAGTGTGCTGCTCTCCAGCCAGCCCAGAGCCCACGAGTGCATCAGGAACGGGGAGTTCAGTTACGCCCCACACCCCTTGGGGTGTATTTTGGGTAAACGGCATGTCAGGGAGTGATGCTGAGACTAAATTTAGACACCAAAAATGATTACTTCTTGGAGCAGCTACTTGGGAACCCACAGCCCTCGACTTGGCTCCAAACGTTACTATCAGCGAGCTATTCCCTAGCTCAGATTAAACGTTCCTGCAGGAGCACCAAAAGCCAAACCCTGGCTGCAGAATTGAATTTAAAACAGGGAACTACATAAAAAACTAGGAAGTTTGTCAAAGCGGAACTAAAAGGGGCAGCTATAAGGGTTTAGTTTTTGTCGGCAGCACAAAGGCTATTTAAGGATGTTCTGCCGGCGGCTCGGAGCAGATGCAAACCCCGTCTCCAAGCAGGGCTAAAGCAAGCCCCCGAGGAAGCTCGTGCGGCCCTGCAGCCAGGTGCAAAGGCTGCCAGAAGTACGATGATGTCTTTCAGGAACAAAGTTGTGTCCTAGTGAGGAAACAGTAAAGGCTGAGCCCACTGCTGCTGCGTGGGAGAATACAGCGAGGAGAACAAGAGAAATTTGAGGAATAGTTTGTGGAAGGAATGGAGAGCGCAAAGTGGCTAGAGGGACTCCGGCAATGCGGGACACATCCAGAGGACCGTGGATGACACCCGTATTGGACACACTTGTAGGAAGCATTCCCAAGAGCAGAATTAGTGGGTAAGTGTGTAATTACAACATACCGGGGAAGCGCTGACACAGCTTTGGTAAAGGAAAATCCGGCTCATGCCTCCTGGAGGGATGCAGGGAGCACGCTGCTGCAGGCTACCAAGAGGTGGTGGATGAGTGCCCTCACCAAAGGCAGATTAAGCTTCCAAATAAACTCAGCTGCCATGGGATGAGAGGGAAGATCCTCACGTATCTAAGAATCGCTTACGGGACAGAATGCAGGGGTAGGCATCTCTGGGCTATCAATAGTCATTTTCTTCCGTGGCAGGGATCCGACTGAGGCCTCCGCCACGTGCTGTACTCATAACTCATTAAGAAAAGGAAGCGATAGCGAAGAGTCAAAACCCACCAGCAATGCTAATTTAATCACCCTTAATATCCTCGCCCTATTTCCCTAAGACCAGGACTGACAGAAGATTTGCCAAGGAGCTGAGCGCTGGGGCGAGAAGGCGTCGGGTGAAGTTTGACACAGATGAATGCAAAGTGAATGCCAAGCAAACACGAAGCGAACACAAAGCAGCCCTGACTCGGCGTGAGCACCACCAGGCTGTGAACCAGCTCCTACGCTGAGCAAAGGGATGGCAGAGCTGTAATGGGAAATTCCAGGAAATGGCCAGCTCAGGGAATATTGCTGAGGCCCTGTGCAAATCCCACTGCCCCAGCGCTCTGCTGCCTCTGGCTCGGAAAAGATCCGGAAAGTGCAGCAAGGACGAGCAAGGTCTAGATGAGCTCCTGGGTTAAGAAGAGCTAAATCAAGCAGACTGCTTCATCCTGGACGAAGCTGATCGAGGAGCGACACAGGGAAGGTCTGTAATGATGAATGGTGGGTGAAGCAGGGGAGGAAGCTGCTGCTTTTTGTCCCTTCCAACACAAAAATTAGGATCGAGGGAGACCGCGAGGTGGCAACAAACACCAGGAGAAGGATGTTCGCCGCATCCTTGGTTTTCCCGACTGGCTGACTCCTGACACAGCCTCTCTGCAAAGCCCAGGCTTCATAACGCTGCTGCACCAGCTGGGTGGGAGCCAGGAGGGTGCCCTGTGGAGATGCCCCCTCCCCACACGCAGCCCTCAGCTCGCTGCTGACAGGGTCTGGGCCCCTCAGCCCCGACGGGGAGCCAGGCAGGAGGCTGGAGCTGCCGTGCAGGCCCTGAGCACATCCAGAGCAGAGCAGTAACCCTGCAGTGGTCTCAAGTGAGAGACCTCGGAGGGACAGACAGGTAGTCCCAGGCAAGTGTCAGAGAGGCCTCTGAACACAGGTGGACACATTGCTCTGGTTCACCATCCAGCGGCCACCCTGTCCCCAGCCCTGCCATCCCCCCCGCCCCAGCTGCAACCCTGGGATGCTGCCAGCCCCAGCCTGGGCAGGGTACCCCACCTCTGCCCATGGGCTGCCAGGAATTTGCTCAGCTCTGCCTGAGGGTTTCTCTGTCATCACCTCTACACAGAGTAGAGAAACTGAGTCACAGATGGGGGATGGGTTTGTGGGCCAAACCTGGGCACGCAGAGGGGATACCTTCACCTCTGGTTGTCCAAACGGGGACACCGTACCACTGGGAACAGACCCCCTGTGGTCTGGGGGCAACTGGCTCCTCTCAGTGCCACCCCTGCCCATCCTCATTGTCCCAGAGCACATGAGGCAGTGGCGGACCCACAGCTCTGCCTGGGACGGGGCTCTGCTGCAGCCCTGTGCATGACACCCCATGGATTTGGGGGCATCTCTCCAAGCCCCCATGCTCAGGGTTCCCAGGCCATGGGGGCACAGCTGGCTGCCCCCCCACCCACATGGCCCTCACCTGGAGCCGAGCCACTTCCTGGCTGCCCCAGGAAGGACGCTGGTTGTGGGGAAGGGGTGTTGGGGGTCCAGTGTCGGGACCTCACCTGTGAGACACCTGAGAGCCCCTCAGGCTGGACATGGTCTCCTCCAGGTTCTGCCGAAGGTCCAGCACATTCTGCACTGTCCTCTTCCTCTGGGACTCAGGGTCTGCAGAGAGACAAGGCGGTGGCTTTAAAGGGATGAATGGCTCCTGTGCCCCTCTGCCCGTGGCTGTGCCCACCAGCTCTTGCTCTGCTCGCTGCGACAGGACAGGGCAGGGCTGGCACCGGGCTGGAGCTGCACCACCACAAAATGCCACCCTCAAGGGTGCTGCAACTGAGACGGGGATGTCTGGTCCAGAAAGGACAAGCTGGGGGGGACCAAGTGGAGCCACAAGACCCAGGCAGGTGACCAGAGGCCAGCTACAGTCACACAACCCTGAAGCACCTGAAGTGACCGTGCTCCATGGCACCACGCAGAAGCAGCCATCCTGGGAAAACATGCCCAAACCTGTCCCTGTGTCCCCCAGGCCCTGGGGTGCTCTGGCCTGAGGACACGGGCGCAGCAGCCAGCAGGAGCCAAGGAGATGCTGGGGAGCGGTGCAAGCCGAGCCCCACTCCTGCCTCGTGCCTGGAAGAGGCGGCTGCTTCTGCTGGGGGCTGGAGCAGCCGATGGGACCAAGCCCCCCATAGGCACAGCCCAGGGCTGGAAACCCCCAAGTTCTGGCCACCCTGGGGCTTCTCCAGGTGTGCACACCCACAGCACGGGCGTGCACGCACACACAGAGGTATGCACCCCCCAGTCTGCATCTGTGCACACGCATGTACCTGCACCACAACCACTGCTGCACACACGAGTATACACACATGAACATCCACACACGTGTGCATACACACCTGCTACACACACACACCTGCACACACAAACACGTGCACACACACCCCCAGAGACACCCACACGCACACAGAGAGGAGGGGGGTTCACTCCTGGCACAGCCCTGGCAGTGCTGCAGGGCTCGGGGCCATGGCTCCAGCCCCCACGCCCCTGACGCACTCGTGTGCATCCCCGGTGGCTAACAGCCATGCCACCGCCGCTTTGATCCCCGATTTCAAGCCTTTCAGCCGCAGCCTGCCATTGAACCGCAGTGACAGCAGGCGCCAGGGACGCTGGATGTGGCTCCTCCTGATGTAACGTGGCAACCAGCGCCTCAGGATTTGCAATGGCACCGTGTAAGCTGCAGCAACACAGGGACCGGGGGGGACACTGCCAGCACACAGCCCGGGAGGCTCACCGCAATGGCACAGCCATACGCCCAGCGCACAAGCAGGGCTTGCGTCCCGTTGTCCCCATCACACGCGAACCATGCCACCAGACACGCCACAGGCAGCACCCATGGGTGATGCTGCCCCATCCCCAGGCTCTGCTTGCCCACTGGCCTGGGCAGGACCACCTCAAACCAGTGAAGCTGCTCCAATTTATGCATGACCCTGGAAGGTGGTGACAAGCAGTAACAGCCCCAATGAGACAGGTTAAATCAAGCAGGTTAAAACCAGTTGTAGACGAGTGTAAGAGGGCTGGTGAGCCCACAGGGCACCCAACACAGCCAGCACATGCCATCGCGTAAAGACGCTTGGCCTTGCGTGTGTCCAACCACCCTGGTCCAGCTCCCAAAGCAAGGCTTAGCAGGAGGCAAGTCGTGAACTCATTATTAAATCTTCATTGTGGCCTGTGCACATTGCAGGAGTCAATCAAAGGCACAGATCCTCCGACCGGTGCCCCAGAGCCACAGGGTGGGGATGTGCAGGCAAGGGCAGAGGGCTGGAGGCTGGAGCAGAGGGGGCTGCGCATGCGGAGCTGGGGCACAGAGAAGGCTTGAGGGGCCTTTGGTGCAGGAGGCACCCCACCCTGCTCTGTGGCTGGGGACAAGGGGACTCTTGGTGCAGGAGGCCAGCACCCACCCTGCTCTGTGGCTGGGGACAAGGGGACTCTGTGCCCCTCTGGTGGGGTAGGCAGAAAGGGCAGTGTTGGCAGATCGGGGGTGCATCAAAGCTTCCAGGTCCTGCCCTTGGGCTGCCTGGAAAGATGGATTTTCAGGACAGAAACCTGAGGTCAAGTCCACTGCTGCCACACGTGCAGTCTGTAGGGCAACTGAAGATTTTGGAGGGGAGGCACATCTGAGCCTTAGGGAAGAGCAATAGAACACCCACCAGTGTCCCCAGGTGGGTCCATACAGAGGACTCAGCACCCTCAGCTCCTCCATCCTGGCCGCATTCGGTGGGTGCTGTCCACCCTGAGCCCAGCTCCTGCAGCCAGAGAAGGTGGCACACACCCCCCAGCAGCACCATGTCCCTGTGGGCTGGGTGGGACAGAGCAGGATGGGATGGAAGAGCCACTGTTATCCCCTGGTGCCGCCAGCAGTTCCCACCTCCCTGCCAGCTCGGCAGGGTGCTCCTCCTGGGCATGGCTCCCTCCCAAAACCACCCCGGCTGCCTCCCCCGTGGCCAGCCGCAGCCATTCCCCTGGGCACAAAGCCAGTGCTTGGGTCTGGTGCTGCCTCCCCACGGGCACAGCTGCCAGGGGGGCTGCTACAGCCACCCCTATCCCAGGGACCAGCAGGGCTGGGGCGAGGATTGTGGCCAGCAGGGCGAGGGAGGTTCTCCTCCCCCTCTACTCTGCCCTGGTGAGACCCCACCTGGAGCACTGGGTCCAGTTCTGGGCTCCCCAGTTCAAGAAAGATGAGGAACTCCTAGAAAGAGTCCAGAGGAGAGCAACTAGGATGATGAAGGGACTGGAGCATCTCCCCTATAAGGAAAGGCTGAGAGAGTTGGGCTTGTTCAGCCTGAAGAAGAGAAGGCTGAGAGGGGATCTCATCAACACGTACAAATATCTTAAGGGCGGAAGTCACGAGGACAGAACCAGTCTCTTTACAGTGGTGTCCAGTGACAGGACAAGGGGCAATGGGTGCAAACTGAAACATAAGAGGTTTCAGTTGAACATGAGGAAAAAACTTCTTTACTCTGAGGGTGCCCGAGCCCTGGCCCAGGCTGCCCAGGGAGGTTGTGGAGTCTCCTCCTCTGGAGATATTCAAAGCCCACCTGGATGAAGTCCTGCGTAACATGCTCTAGGAGAACCTGCTTTAGCAGGGGGGTTGGACTAGATGATCTCCCGAGGTCCCTTCCAACCCTTGCCATTCTGTGATTCTGTGAGCGCTCCCTGTGTCCCCCATGCAAAACCAGAGTGGCTGGCATGTGGGTGCCACCTCCCCCTGCACCCTCAGTGCTGCTGGGGGACCGTGCAATGAGGACCCCTTGGGCACCCAAGGTAAGAAGCAGCATCCAAGGGCTTGGGTGCCTGGCAGGGGGCTGGCGGGTGCTTCAGGCCCCATGTTTCAGGGTGACAGCACTGACCCCCATTCCCAGGTTCAGTCACGGCACTGTCAGCCATCCATGCCCAGCACAGTTCGCTCTCCTGGCCCCCAGTATGTGGGCGACAGTCCCGGTCACTCTAGCCTCCGGAGTCGCCCTGGGAAAAGCAGCAGCTCTCACCAGGGAAAGGGCCAAAGTGGGACTCGAGGAGCTGCTCACCCACCTCTGGCACACACACCCCCCACTGGCTGCATCGCCAGTGCCTCTCCCCACTGTGCTGGGCTGGGGCGGTGACACCAGGCCCCCTGCAGTCCACTTTCCAGGTGCAGCGAGGGGCCGGGGGCTGTCTCGGGGCTGGCTGGGCTGCAGCGTGCCAGAGCTGACCGAAACCGGAGCTGCTGGGAGAGGCTGGAGTGTGGGAACGGCAGGAGTGCGCTGGATTCCTCCTCACATCGATTTAGCAAGCTTCCTGCAGCCAGATGTTTCCAGCTGCCAGAGTGGGGAGCAGCAGGGACGGCTCAGCCTGTGCTGCAGTGGGGTCAGTCGGACACCCTGCCTTGCTGGGCTCATTTTCCCGGCAGCGATGGCCAGGATGTGTCCCCCAGTGCTCCCCACTGCCGGGGTTGCAGGCTTGGGGACCAGCCGTCCCCTCTGCCCTGGCTCCAGGCTGGCTTGCAGCCCCGTTAGCAGCTCCCTGCCACTCTCGCAAGCTCCATCCTGCTGTCACAGAGAGAAGGGGGTGCTGGCTCCCGTCCTGTGCTCCCCTAGCCCAGCCACGCAGAGGAGGGCAGCTGCAAGACACAGCCACTGTCCCCAAGCCCTGTGCAGGGAGGCCACCAGGCCCCACTGCCTGAGTCGCTCTTGCCTGTGCCAGGCTGGGTCTAACCTGCCCTTGCTGGCTCTCTGCCCTGCCCTTGCCTGCAGCCGTGCTTGGGCAGCTCTCCCGGCCCCCACTGCTGCTCCTTTCTTAACTGAGCGCTCTTAGTGCGCCCTCCAACACTGGCAAACACAATACGGCTTCGCTTTGCATACGGGGAAACTGAGGCAGGAACTCCTAGCCCACCCCTGGCCACCCCAGCCTCTGCAAGAAATCTGGCACTGTGTGTGCCCAGCCCTGAGCCATGTGCCACCAATCACCCCCGTCCCCTGCCCTGCACAACTGGGGAAGCAGCCGGTACCATCGCTGAGAGAAGGAGCATTGGCAAGGCGGGACGTGGGGCTGGAGGCAGCCAAGGAGAAGGAAGAGAAGGAGGAGGGAGAGAGCTGTGCTGCGAAGGGCTGGCTCAGGGCAAGCTGCTGTGTGCTGCTGGTCTGACTGTGCTGGGCACCGCAGAGCCAGGGCCGGGGGAGACTGGGGAGCTCCAGGTTGTGCTCACGTCCACCCCTTCCCATCACCTCCAAGAGCAAGCAGTGGCTGCTCCTCTTGCTCCTCTACCTGCACAGTGGGGCACAGCCACATCCCCACAGCCGGGTGCTGCCGACGTGGCCAAGTACGTCAAGGAATGAGGAAACCATCAACTCCAAACGGCTCGTGACAGCTCATTTCAAAGGAGCATGTGGCCAACAGCTCCTGCTGGGGCCAGGCAGAGCCGTGTCCATGGGACACGTGTGCCCCATGTGCCTTGGCACAAAAACCCGCATGTGTGTGTGTGCCGCCCGAGCGCTTGTTTGCATCATGCATATGTTCATGTGCCGGCCACATGGCAGCAAAACCCCTCTGCCCGCAGAAAGGTGCATGTGCATGTGCACGCCTGTGGCTGCGGCCTTGCACGTGTCCCCACGTGTACGTGTGCCGGCACGAGG